GGCTCTAAGCGTCCGCTGCTCGCCGCACCTTATGCATCAACAGCGACGCTGGCGTCCGAAGCACCTCGAGCCACTGGCCTCTCGGCGGATGAGTCCGGTTGGACACCGGCCGCTGCGCGACGATCAGGCTGCTCGAGTCGGGCATTGGCACGCTGCGCGTCCGCAGGAAGGCGTCCACCTCGGACGCAGTCGGCCTTTGCCCCGGCAGCCACGCGCGGCACTTGCTGGCGGCGCACTGTGGCAGCGGCTCGAACCAGAGATTGCGCTTGTGGCAGCGCTGGGCGGGCAAATGAAGCGAGTGGAAGGCCTCGAACTCGTGCAGCGCCACCGGGAGCGGTGGCGGCTCGTGGTAGACCGCCTCAAAGTAGGCGACCCACGGTGACGCTGCCGAGGAGACGTACCGCGGCAGGCGGAGGAAGAAGTCAGCCGTCTCGCGCTGGTTGCACGCGGAGAAGCAGGCGCAGCGAGGACGGGTGCGGGTTCGTGTCAGCTCGCTCAGCTCGGCGAGCTCCGGGACGCCGAACTTTCGATGCGTCATATAAGTCTAGGGGGCGAGGAAAAACGTGCCGTCCGCCGATCCCGCTTCTTTTTGGGGTCTTGTACGATCGTATTGCGAGTTTTTGTTTCTTTTGTCACCGATGTTTGCAAAGACATTCCTTGGGGACCCTAGCAAATTCAAGAAAGCAGAGAGCAGCGGATTGGGTGCGGCAATATGCAACGCCACTCTGGCCGCCGCGCGTGGCGTCGTGGTGTGCGGTACATTGCGGTGCGTTTTGCGAGGCGCCGAGGCCGCGCGCGCGTCTCTCAGACTCTGACTGGCCCAGGAGCCAGGTTTTTCAGTGTACGGTCTCGTTCTCTCTCCCATGTGTGATATATAATATATATGTAGAGCGCCATATAATAAAAGCAAGTGGTGGCGGGAAGGCGGCCCACACGCCCGCCCCCGGCCCATCTCGTGGCACTGGCACGTGGCAGGTGACGGCTGACACTTTACGGGGTGTGGACCGTGAGTTGACCAGGGGTTGTGCGCCGGGCCCTCCTGCTCGGCTCCAGCGAGTAGAGACAAGTGTTACCATCAGCAGAGGAGAAGGATCTGACCTCAGGGCTGATGTGACCAAGCGCTGGTAGCGTGATTTTACCTCACACCCATGGTCTCACAGTGTGCCGGCAGTCGCCGAGCAGTGTCGCTCACTCAAGCCGCAGCACAAATGACTGAGGGCCAGTGAGGGCGAGCCCATCGCTGTCAAAGCTGTGGCAGCCGCACAAGTAGGCTGTGCCAACTGTGCAGAGCATGTGAGCAGCAGAGGAGCTGCTCTCCAGGCTTCAGCCGCGCGCAAAGAGATGCATCCACAGCT